CACATTTTGAACAATGCATACACTATTCACAAGGCACACACTATCATGTACAATTCACTTTACCTAAGATTTTCACATGAATTGTAACACTAAATTACTCCTACATCTTGAAATAGCTGTTTTCTTTGCCCCTTTTCCCTAACTGAAAGGCATAACAGAAAACTTTACACATTTAAGAGAAGGCTATTGTCATTGGGTGCAGTGGCATCACAAGGGTTGGCATCACCTAGTGTGGTAACTCACGGTGTCACACACCCCTCAACTTCCTCCCATACCACACAATACAGTATCCTTAATAATGTTTTTTGTACTAATGTTACTCATAAATCATAATTCCCATATATCACTGAATATAATGGATTTTTAAAAGGATTTTTAAAATTTTAAAATTTAAATATTAAAATTTTACATTTTACATTTAAAAAGTTAAAACCTGAGAGCTCTCCTTTCTCCTCCCACTGAGCCTCACCCCACTGACACCATCTCCAGCATTTTAAAGGGACACAAGCGAACACCACAGCCCATTTCTGGCAAAAGGCAGGTGTTTAGGGACCAGTGGTGCCACACACACCTGATGTGGCTTGAATCCCCCCCTCCACACACACACACACACACACACACACACGTGACACCTCTGATCAGGTGGATCCTAAAGACAAGAAGGATTAGCTGAAAACTGTTATGTGTCCTCTGGAAAGAGTGTCTTAACCAATCTAAACCTTTCCCATTTTTAAAAGCATTCGTCTGCTTGTTTCATTACTTCTAAACCTAATAAACATTGGCACAAGTGTATGTGGGTTTCCTGGAAACATTGTGCAAGCAAAAAAGCTCTCCAATAAACAGAGGATTTTTTTTCTCCCCTAGCAGATCAAGAAATTTTTTTTATTCAGGATCCAGAAACAACACTTTGGAGAACAAATTGCCTCCTGACATCTTCCTGGATCTATCTTCTTGATAGTTTTCTTAAAAGGCAGAAAGAAAGGTATCAAACAAGCTACAACAGATTCTCAGTGGAGCAATTAGTTGATAGTTAAAGCATCTAACTGATTGTCAGAAGCACAGAACTGAATTCTTGCAAAAGTATGGATGAGATCTCCAATTTGTCACCCTTTGGATGTGTTGACTACAAATCACAGCATCTCCAGGCTGCTGTCACACAGCTGGAGTATGTCAATTTGGAAAGGACTAAATCAGGGGTAGGCAACCTAAGGCCCGGGGGCTGGGTGCAGCCCCCCGAGGCCTTTGGATTGGCCCCAGGCTGGTTCTGCTGCCGCCACCCCCCACCGCCGCTGCCGCCTGCCATGATGACATTATTGTTATTACTTGTTCTTGGGGTTTTCTTGGCAAAATCTCCACAGGGGTTTCGCCATGGCTTTTCTGGGGCTGAGAGAGTGTGCATGCATATTTTTTTTTATTTTTTTAATTTTTAATTTTTATTTTTAAATATTTATTTATTTATTTTTGGTGCTTCGGCCCCCCAATTGTCTGAGGGACAACAACCCGGCCCCTGGCTCAAAAAGGTTGCCTACCCCTGGACTAAATATATAGAATACAGGAAATACACACATGTAAAGAATTTTGTATTCTGTTGCACCACAAAATGATTGGGTGGTCCAATCCCTACCCACCCCGAGATAGGTCTACCCACAGTCCACAACCTCACAGTCCACTTTCCTACACATCAGGGATTAGCGACTGTAGTCTTTCAGATGTTTGTTGGACTTGAACTCTCTTCATCACTCATCATTGGCAATACTGATTATGGCTGTTGGGAGTGGCAGTCATCAAACATTGTCCACCCTTGCCATTTGTGCCTCAAATATAACTCAGGTCACAGTGGAGGATGGCTAGATGACTGATTCTTCTCTCACCAGCTTGGAAGCAATACATGAACAGCTCCATGGAAAATATGAAGTGTTAAACTAGGATTAAATTTATGAGCCAAAGCACATAAGCCCCTGGGACCATTTCAGAGACCACCAAAGTCAGTGGAAACAGTTCTCACAGGGGTTGGAATAGACAACAGACTTCTGTAAGGCAGAGATTAACCAGAGTCTGATGCTTTGCATATTTTGCCATAACATAAGGAAACTTCTGTGCTAGAGTCAACACACACACACA